AAATGAACGTTGTAGAGCTTCGCGAACACTCTCGAATGTTCTATATGCGTCGAACAAGCAGTCAGCTCCAACCATACTCTGTACACAGTAGTGCAGTTGCAATGTTTCTAGTGAGTGCTGGAAGCCTACCAAATGTTTCTCAACTATTCTTTCGGCGAAACACGAATCATATAGAACATTCGAGAGTGTTCGCGAAGCTCTACAACGTTCATTTATTTTCTGTTAAGAGCTTCTAGAAAACCTGAAAACAGTATAAATACGGCATGGCGTTCGCAGTGTAGTCAGTCTACAAAGAAACAGTGAAGTAAACACAACAAAACAAGCGAAAGAAAGGAGGAGAAGTTTTAACGAGTGACAGCAAAACACAAGTTTAAAAGTACAATACGAGAACAAAACGTGAATAATTGATCGAATTTGTTATTATTAAAAGTGAGAAAAAGTGAAAAATCAAGTAAAAAATGCCTGCAGTAGGAATTGATTTGGGAACAACTTATTCGTGTGTTGGAATGTTTCAACATGGAAAAGTGGAAATTATTGCGAACGATCAAGGCAACAGAACAACACCAAGCTATGTAGCGTTCACCGACAACGAACGTTTGATTGGCGATGCGGCCAAAAACCAAGTCGCCATGAACCCGAGAAATACCATCTTCGACGCTAAACGATTGATTGGCCGTAAATTTGACGATCCAAAAATCCAAGAGGACATGAAACATTGGCCGTTTACGGTGCTCAGTGAAAATGGCAAACCGAAAATTGTGGCCGAATTCAAGGGAGAACGTAAACGCTTCGCACCAGAGGAAGTCAGCTCGATGGTTTTGACAAAGATGAAGGAGACAGCCGAAGCGTATTTGGGCGAATCGGTCACAGAAGCAGTCATCACAGTGCCAGCATATTTCAATAATGCACAACGTGAGGCCACGAAAGACGCTGGTGTAATTGCCGGGCTCAACGTACTTCGTATCATCAACGAACCAACAGCGGCCGCCTTGGCCTACGGATTAGATAAGAATTTGAAGAGCGAAAAGAACGTGCTCATTTTCGATTTGGGCGGTGGTACTTTTGATGTATCAGTTCTGACCATCGACGAGGGCTCGCTGTTCGAAGTACGTTCAACGGCCGGCGACACACATTTGGGAGGCGAAGACTTTGATAACCGATTGGTAACACATTTCGCCGAGGAGTTTAAACGCAAGTACAAAAAGGACATGGCAACAAATCCACGGGCATTGCGACGCTTAAGAACGGCCGCCGAACGAGCCAAGCGAACACTCTCGGCGAGCACAGAAGCTACCATTGAAATCGACTCATTATTTGAGGGTTTCGACTTCTATACGAAAATATCTCGAGCTCGTTTCGAGGAATTGTGCGGCGATTTGTTCCAAGCCACATTACAACCAGTGGAAAAGGCACTGGCCGATGCCAAAATGGACAAATCAAAAATTGATGAGATCGTTTTAGTCGGTGGATCAACGCGTATTCCAAAGGTTCAATCGCTTTTGCAGAACTTCTTCAACGTAAAACAATTGAACTTGTCAATCAACCCAGACGAGGCGGTTGCATACGGTGCAGCAGTACAAGCAGCTATTTTGACCGGTAACAAAGACAGCAAGATCCAAGATGTGCTTTTGGTCGACGTGACACCACTCTCATTGGGCATTGAAACGGCCGGTGGAGTAATGACGAAGATAATCGAACGAAACGCTCGCATTCCATGCAAACAAACACAAACGTTCACCACATACGCCGACAATCAACCGGGCGTTTCGATTCAAGTGTTCGAGGGTGAGCGGGCCATGACCAAGGACAACAATGTGCTGGGAAAATTCGAATTGAGCGGCATCCCACCAGCACCGCGTGGCATTCCAAAAATTGAGGTCACATTCGATTTGGACGCAAACGGTATTCTGAATGTAACAGCGAAAGAAATGAGTACCGGCAACTCGAAGAACATCACCATCAAAAATGACAAGGGTCGCCTATCGCAATCCGAAATCGATCGAATGTTGGCCGAAGCCGAGCGCTACCGAGACGAGGATGAGAAACAACGCGAGAAGATTACAGCCCGAAACAGCCTCGAGGGCTATGTATTCAGTGTGAAACAGGCAATCGATCAAGCCGGTAACAAACTGTCGGAAGAAGAGAAATCGAAGGCTCGCAACTGCTGTGGAGAAACAATCAGATGGCTAGATAGCAATGGATTGGCCGATAAAGAGGAATTCGAACACAAGATGCAAGAAGTTAGTCAGATCTGCTCACCAATAATGACCAAAATCCACACTGGTGGAGCAGACACCGGGGCAAGTAATTGTGGCCAACAAGCCGGAAACAACTTCAACAGCTACCGAGGGCCAACCGCCACCGTTGAAGAAGTCGATTGAATTCATCGTGGAGATGCCATCATACCAAATAGTCAATACTCGTACAATAAGAGAGCCTGTTAACTAGTTTTCAGGATGATAATAGAAATTAAGATCTCAACCCAGAATAAAATCTAAATGTATATATAAATTTAGAAATAAAGTTGAAACAACTGAAATGAAAAGATAAAAAAAATACAAAGTGTTTTTATTGTGAAGAATTCTAGAGTCAGTTCAAAGCTGGAACTTCAAACTGTTTAACGCTTACAACTTGTCTTCAATTAGAGCAAAAATATTAAACTAATTAACTTTGATTGAGTGTTGGTCTTTCGAATAGCTTCCATTTCTTTTACATCATTTATTTTAATATAGCTAGTTCATTATCATTGAAAAAATTTGAGGGCTATTGTGCCTTGATAATTCCTCTATAAGTATAGTGTGCGCTTTCAAAGAACAAATTTCATCAATTACTCAAAAAGGGAAAGAGTCACAGATAAGTGTTTCACGTTTCTTAATTTCTAAAAGCAGAATTTTTTCCAATTATATATAGTTATACTTATTCATCAACTCGCTGATAACATTTCAAGCGACATCGCTGGTTGCGTCTGGTTTCAATTTTCTATGTTCAAAAAAAGCACCTGCACCATATCCGCACGCAGCTACGATTCCACATACCTACAAGCCAAAAATAAAATCAATTTAAAAAAAATCTAATTTCAATCGATGATATTGTTGTCATACCCATACTACAACTAATTTCGGACTGTAAGCTATAAGTAACAATGCAGATAACAGAAGGAACAAAATCGATGTTACTACAGAATAGGTAATTTCAAATATCGGCCATAAACTATGATATATGCAATTGAATTCTATCACATGGGATAGTACCAGTAACGAGGTGACTATGAACGCAGCAATTGTCGCACAGAAGAAATATACCACTGCGCCTGACATTTCCTTTGATTCCACTTGTATGTAAATATTGCTAATCAGTTCACACATCTAGTATAAGGACAAAATACAAACTTATGCGTATTTATTTATTTCAATTTGTTGATTCATTCATTAAACATTTGCGACATACCAAACAAACGATTTGAATTAGGCCCGGAATCGTAAGCAAATATTCGAAATTCCATGGCCTTGAATCTATTACTGTTGTGGTTGATTGATAAGGATTCATCTGTACCAAATTTGAATGTGACATTTCGATTGCTGCAATTTTTTACACCACGATTTGTAAATAAATAAATTTTGCACACCTAGATTAAATATGGAAAATAAAAAAAAACAAAATTCACTCACAAATCACTAACAAAATTACTTGAACATGAATGATTCGTTCTAATGGCAGACATTTGTTTAAATGAAAGCAAAAGACTGAATTATTCAGCTAATTTATCTACGTTGTTTCAGACTGAAGCCTTCAGTGATTTTATGGGAACATTTCTTTTTGGAAAAAAAGTGAATTATAATCTGAAAACACTGATTCAAAAGCGGAAATTCATGTGGGAATATCTGGTAAATGTGCATATATAGTATATATTATATACGTATTTTATTTCTCAGTAAATACGTCACTCTTGATAAATTTAAATACAAAAACAGAAGAAACATTCAAACAAACGGGCATCGTGTATATTTGAAGGAAGAATCAAGTTGAATTTGTATGTTCAATCACTTTTGTAGCATCCGAACATTGAAATTTCTACAAAAAGCCGATAAGCTGTTATCAGTGAGAATTTGTCTGATTTGTCAATGCTAAAGCATTAAGCAAATTCAATGGAAAAAGCAACACACGCATCCTGTTGATTAAATTCACATTTGAAACAAATGTTATAAAATATATTTCATCCATTCAATTCTGTTCGGCAAAATGAAAAAAAAAATAAGTAATAAAAATAGAACTTACATTGAAAGAAAAAAAAAGAGTTCGCCACCGGGTGGAATCGAACCACCAACCTTTCGGTTAACAGCCGAACGCGCTAACCAATTGCGCCACGGAGGCGATAATTCTAGATGACACAAATACTTAGAAGAGTAAACATGTGGCTGTTACGTGTGTCAGCACATTTGTTGATATTGCACCAAAACTATGTACGCTGCTGTCACCGACAAAAAATCAGATAGAATCCAGACGATTGAGTATTTTCCAAGAGAAAAACCACCAGAGAAATAACACAATTTCTATGAGAATATTAATGGTTAATATTTATTATTCGATTTGATCATAGATTCGTTCCTATTTCTATTATAAGTTATCAAAATATCAAGAGAAAAAAATGAGAGAAAACAAATATACAGCGACAATATAGACACTAAAAAAACATTTACAACACTAGAAATGATGACTCGAATGAAATATTGATAAAGTTTATTTTTTTTTCGTAAATCATAATACACACACACAAATGTTAATGCCATCGTTTTGCGATGAATAAAATAGGATTAAATGAAACGATTTTATCTCTATTATTCCACAATCGAAATTGTGCGTTGTGCTACTTGAAATTGAATTGGCTTCGGTGTGGTAAAAATATAGATTCTATCGTGCTAGTTCCTGATCCATTGTGTCATGGTCTTTGAATTCATTTTAAAAATCGTCTATTGAAAAAGAAAATGTGAAAAATTCCTTTGCTAAAATTCCAATCTACTCATTATGTTCGCTATTAAAGCTTTAGACATCAAATGAGTACAATATCTATATTGTGCGAATTATTCGCTTACATTCCAACATAAATAAGCACTATTTATATTTTCCACTGACAAGTGACTCTATTATCACAACCAACTAAACGAATAGCAATAAACCGAAAATTAAAGTGTAATCGAAAAAAAAAATATTTGAAATGACCGTTTTTTTCTTCATTCAATTAAACTCATAATCGTTTCTTTTTGATTTAATACATTTTTGTGGATTTATTCCAATGAAGCTTCTAAAAATAATTCTCAGAAGGCTGTTCTAATATTCATGCTAATGTGAATTGTCTAGGTTTGCTTAAGAGTTTATAAAAAATATCCTGTGCGTGTCTTGTGATTTTCCGGTACCTATGTGATTCCTGCGTTTATCTCGGCATTCTTGAATTAATAAAAGCATCTAATATATCAGTAAATGTCATAAGAGTGTAGAGTAAATTTGAAGATGTTATGTTGATACGATAGATTTGTCTGATCTTTATGCTGTGCTTGAGTTATTTGGGGCTCCGCTGATTGCACTAAACAATGCTAGGCTGTTTCGATGCACTGAGTTGCTTTCGTCAATTGGTAAAAATGATTCGTCGAGCAAATCAGACAAAGCAATGCAGAGTTTTTCATAATTGTCTTTCAGTGCAGCATGGTATTCGCGTTGATCATTTGATATCATGCGACCGTTCACTTGAAGTGCTGTATTACAAATTGACACGAACTCTCTGCAATTCAAAATGGAATACATCATTTGCTGTTGTTTGTGAAATCGAATCAAAATCAAGCATGAGTATCAAAATGATACAATCATTTTACCTGAAAATATCTTTTAATTCATCGATCTTATCTTCGGAATACTTGTCTTCGCCGTTCTCTTTGGGATTGAGGAAGGCGTTAGCATACGCAAGAGGTCCTGCATTCACTTGAACAGCAACACTGCCTTGCAATCGCAATTGCAATTTCTTCACATCGATCGGTGGCATAACAACCTCTTCCAGTTCACTAACTCGGTTTTGCATTTCATCAATGGCAACTTCAATTGGATTTAGTTCGATTGCCTGCTTGTGTTTCACCGGTATCCGCTTCAGCACATATGGGAACGAGTACATTGCTGCAACGAAATAATTCATATTAGTATTTGGTATTGAAAATGGTCCCAAAATTATTTGGCCAGTTTAATTACTTGTCAAAATGGTGCGCCGCTTCCATTGCTCTTCAACGCTTCCGTGGGCGGTGCCGTTCTTGGTGAATGGTGTTTCAAACTGGAATGTGTCCACATCATGATTTTGTTCAAAGAAATTCTGCCGTGTTTCCAACTCATCTTTGCAGAAGTATGGTTTCGAGTGCGTTACTTGTATATAGGCTACTTTTGGGTCAAGGTCATTCACATTTACCTGTAAATAGATTCATGTGTTAAATTAACACCGTTAATCAAATTTTAATTTGTTGTTTAGTTCGAGTATGTTATTCAGTGCTTCCAAGCAAAGCAATCGTTTAGTTATACATCTGGGTTTTTCAACGTTGACAACTATTCTAACCTCAAATTCATTGCTCTTCATTTGGCAAAACAAAACGAAGTAGTGCGACGTTTCATGCAAATCATATGCAAACCAAACGAAAATTACCGAATTTTGTGGTTTGTAAACAGAAAAGGCAAAAAGAATAAAAAATAGAGTATCACTTTGATTGAAGATAGAACTTTGTTCACATAAAAATATACGCCTCCGTGGCGCAATTGGTTAGCGCGTTCGGCTGTTAACCGAAAGGTTGGTGGTTCGATTCCACCCGGTGGCGGATTCTTTTTTTTTTCTTTCTTCTAAACTGAAAGTTTTTTTTTTATAGAACTATACCCCGATTTCCAACTCTGATCCGTTTTTACGAATTTTGAGCCATTTTGAATGTTTTTGTTCTACTCACCGGCGATGAGTCTTGAATCATTTTCACACAATCAGCTCCGTATTTGTCTTTATACTGTTTATAAAGACGCTCGGAAATTTCGCTTAGCGAAGTTAGCTTTGGTTCCTTATAAATGTATTCAACGCCACTGTCTTCTTCAAAGTAAATCTGCAATCGAAAAATATTTTTCAAGAAAATGCACCATTTTTAAAATTCAACGTATTTTCTACTTAAAAAGAAATGTGTGACACACCTGTCCAAAGAAAACGACTCTATAAAATCGTCCCAGCATGCGTTTTCCCGATCGATTGACTTCATTGACCTTGCTATAGCTTTGTGCTAAGTGCTCATAGCATTGTGCTAGCATAGTGTAGTCTCGTTTATTTTCCAAAATCGGTACAATCAATCGATACAATTCCCCCAAGCATTCATATCTTTCGCCCCGATCCAAATACTCAGCGCAGTCTTTCAATTGTTCCAATAACATTTGTTCGGTATATTGTGAGTCTGGTGTTCCGCTATCCAGTTTGAGGCCTTTTTCATCCACTGGGATGTTTCTAGATATTCGACCAAATGCTTCGGCTCCCCAATTCACAAAACCGCTACCTTTTAATTTTAAATACTCTGCGATGAGAGCGGCAATATGCAGGTTGCACATTGCAGCTTCGGACAAATCACCATTTTGTTCATGATTTCGGGCCATTGTGACTAACCAAGTGTGACGCAGTTCGGGCGTTGAATATGAGTTAGCAAGAGATTGTTGCAATTCAAGTAGCCGTTCTGGATCCATGTGATGTGCTTGCATTTGAGCGGTGGCCATTAGAACGGTTCGTACGCGTTTAGTCAGATCTTTAACTTCGGTTGGAAAACCCGTTCCTTTCATTGCCTTATCACTTGTCGCATAACTATTTATCATCGACAATGACTCTTGGAAACGAGCATTGTTCAGTCCAATTACATTTCCAATCATTTGTGACACTGAAATAATGACTTGTAAATGTACTCTGGTCAGTCCCTTGCGGCCACTGAACTCGAAATTACTCCTCATTAGCAGATAGAGAACGGCGCATGCATCTTGACGAATCGATGTCAAACGGCTATCGCAGCATTTTAGCAATTCATACACAATCTGGCCACATAAAGCGGCATTGCCACGGAATAACGCAGTCGAGAAATTATTGATAAATGCACGAAGAGCAGCAAAAACATGTTTGGATAGATTCTCTGATTGACCTAACTGTAAAAATCGAAGGTAAACTTGTGCCAGTTTTGGCAGTACTGATCCATCCAGCATTTTATCACGGAATTGAAGTGTATACAGTCCCATGCAATCCAAAATTATGAGCCCGACTTCAGCAGCTAAACTCGATTCTAAAGAGGCAATCTGTGACCGTGTCGCTTCTTCAACTAAATTTTCTCTGGTGTTACTGTGGTTCAATGTTCCACTACTGCCGCTTTCATGCGGGAATTCTCCATTTTGCGGTGATACACGCGCTGGCAAAGTATGTGAACGGCTCGTCTTTAGCTTTGTATTCAAATAACCAACATTCATCACGATATTCTTTTTGCCCACATAACGGAAATTGATCAGGCAATAGTCTAAAATCCCGAAAAATGAAATTGTCTCACTTTCTGTGCAATTTTGCCACCAGAGAATCATGTGCTCTTGGCTCAAATTCTTTACAACAAACAAGAAGCAAATGAGTAAGTCTTTTGTTTCACTTTCGTTGAATTTATCGAGTCGAGGTATCATCGGTGGCTGAGCCATGCTGATCGAGCGTGCATGTCCCGGTCGAATGGTTGAATCCGATTGAGTATTTAAGCTTCCCAGTATTGTTGTGTCGTTCGAGAGTGCTGAACATTCTGAGTCAAGTGAATTTGTCGAATGGCCATTGCGGAGGATTTGTTGTTGACCTGCTATGGCGGCCAAATAGTTTGTATCCTTCAATAAAAGCGAAGTACGGCACGGGCTAGTTTGATTGAGTCGTGATCGAAGTTTTGGCGTACTATTTGCCGACATAATACTGTTCGAGCTAACCAATGAATCACGGCCAAATACGTAACTGCCACCTGTTGAATATCGGCTCGTGCAAATTGACATAGAATCCATTGGTCGACATTCATTCCCGTCGAAAATGCGTGATCGATTCTCCATCACGATTCCAAGCCACGGAATGTAAATCATCGCTAAACGAGCTGCTTGTCCTTTGCCTTGGTATCGATCATCCAAGTCATGTTTCGCTAAAATCTCTTTTAGCACATTCAACGACATCTTCCGAATGTGACCCACTTCGTTTAAAGCACTTTTCACTTCTTGCAGTAGAATACCGGCCAAAAAGTGCTGCCGACAAAATTCTTCCGATAAAGTAAATCGCTGTATCAAATTGGGCTGGCGTGAGTTTGGTGACAGTAAAATTGGCAGATTCAATGGAACATAGTGTTCATGCGAACAGATTTCTTGCATAAATCCAAATTTGTATTCATGTAAAATTCGGAGATCTGATGATGAGAAGCGATCCAAATACAATCGAATCAACTTGAATACAAAACCTCTGTCCATGAACGTTAGGCAGCGTTTTATAAATACTGACAGGTTTTTGTTGAGAATTTGTGTTTCATTTGGCAGATCTTTGTGACGTGTAAATAGATATGGCACGAGTATTTCAAATAAGTTTTCGACTTTCGCCTCAAATTCATCGGTAAACCGTTCGTTTCGATGCATTCGAATGCGACCGGAGTGCAGCAAATGTTGAGCCATGCTTTTGACAATAATGTCGAAGAAGATGTTGGAGTATTTCATGAATTTGTTCACTACTAAAAAGTCAGTGTTGCTTGGATTTAAGATGGATGGCAGGTATCGGCACAATTCGCTGTGCACCGTATTTCCGTTCATTTTCGGTAGGAAGTGTGTTGTTTGGAATACAAACTTCACATACGAATTAATCAATTCCTTACGACCAGCCTCCTCAGCTACCGTATGAATCAAATTGATCAACAATCGGATCACATTCAATGCAATATCTTCGCTCGTCGTATTAACCAGCAGTGTGAACAATTGATTGAGAATCGTCGGCAAGAATGTGATTACAGATTTGACTTGAATGGCGTGAGCGGCTTTTAGAATTTTGCACGTCTCCGATTCAGCCGGTTGTGCGGTCAATTTTCCTTGTTGCAGCAAACGTTCCGAATGTACAAATAAATTGTGCAAATGTTGATCGGTGGTCAAAACAGTCGATTCCAAACGAAAATTGATCGCAAAGATCGGCCGTTGATTGTCAATCCATTGAATATCCGGACCTGCATTCTGCTGGGAAAATTAATTGTGTGCAGCATGAAAGAAGAATTTCACAAATAAAAAATTAACTTTGGTTAGTTTGGTTTTATCAGTGTGAAGAAGGTGAACTAGTGATTGAAAATTGGATTAGCATTGTTATATAATTAAAAAAAAAACTGCCAAAAATCCCAAATTGAAATAGAAAATTCTAAAAATTTAGTAAAATAATTTAGAAAAAATGTGCATTAAATGGATAAGAATCCTTACGCCTTTGCCCAATCCAAGCGGTTGAATTGCCAAATAACCGGCTGAAAAAGGTAAAACCACAATTTGAAAATCCAAAATAATAACATCAACATTAATTGAATATTTTATAGCACTTATTTCATTACCAGGAAGTGCAGCGGCAACGGGTAAAACTTGTTCTTCCACATTAATTTTTCCTTTCGATAGCAACGGCATCCACGAGTATCCAACGGCACTCTCGTATGATGTGTTTGCATCGCGTCGTTTTGACAAATCGCACGAAACGTGAACAAACGAAAACAAAAGGTGATGATTGGCGGTTATATTCAATGGCAATCGTATCTTTACTTCCTCATACCACGTCGGATTGGTATTGTGATGTAGCACTGGACAAGAAATCTTATCGAGCAACATTGATTGACCTGCTCTACCGTACATACACTGCAAGAGATAATCATTTAATAACATATAATAGAAAAAACCGACGAACGAACGAATGAGAGAAGAAATAATTGTGATTATAGAATTACCGGTATCGATTTCGCTCCTTCCGTATCACTCTCTCTTACTTCGATGGTTACAGCGACGTTTCTAGCGCGCGAAAATAGCTTCTGACTATCGAAACTCAGTGACTGTGGATAGATGAACAGGTGGTTCACGAATGTCGTATATGGATACATGTCACGATCTAAATTCACAGAAAATTCTGCAATTTCAAATGACGGTTCAGCTGTCGGTGGCATCGGGAATGGTTTCAACGGCATCAATGTTGTCGTGAGGGAATCTATGAATTGAAAGAAGATCATTGTGTTATTAAAAGAGTCATTAAAATGGAGTATCAATAAAATTGTATTGAATAGACAAGCAATAAATGATGATTGAATCTAAGGCATGCAATCTGGGCGAAAATATAAGATAGTTGGATCAGATATTTTTTTATATATCGATAGATATAAAATCGTCCACTTACTGTTTGGTAACTCGCTAATGGATTCGGTCATGATTTTCAGGAATCCTGGTATCACAGTCAGTTTGCTGAATTTGTCCGGTTTTCGATACTCTGTCAGTAGTTTCAGAATATCTTCGTCTTTCAGTTTGTTTGCATCTTGTCGATAGATCGCCGGAAACTCAATGGCTGAATCCAAGTCACTGCTATACAATCGGAACAGTGGTCGTGCTGCCCACGCGAATGGCATGCGATAATGTCCAATTTTTTGCGAATATTGTTTTACGTTCTTGTTTAATTTAGGTCCCATTTTTGGATCTTTTCCCGCCTTCAAATACGCATCTGACGTGTTATTGATGCCACCTTGGAGAATTTTCTCAATTTTTACCACTAAAAAGACGTCTGGATGTGGTGTGGTGACGTTTAGAACGGCTTGTTTGGGTCTCTTCATCCAATCGGCTGGCAGCGCATCGAATTCTTTGGGCAATGTTTGATATTGAATTGTTTTAGGTTTGTCATCGGTTCCATTTACACCATTTGTTTCACTGGCTTGTCCATTTGTTAACGTGTTTTGATTTGTGACCATCATATCTCGCACGTGCTCCGAATTCAAGTCAAAGTAGAAATTTTCGGTTAATTTGCGCCCATTCTTAGCATCGTACAAAGCTAAGCTCGTAAAGTATGGCTCAGCCTGTACATATGTTTCCTTCTCACAATTCTCCAAGGGTGTTTGCAATCGAAACTTTAAACTATCACATTTGATCAATATTCTGTGGCCAAATTGCTCTCTGTACGGATCAATAACTTCATTGTGTGTGATTGGTCGCAACAATTGCGAATAACAGTTGAATAGCTTGCGCCGATGTTCTCGCCTTGCTTGTGCTATCGAAATATCTGTTTCTCGTCCGTACTTCATGAGTTGCGGATTCATACTTTGGTCCAAACCTTTCAACGTTCCAAATATATTCGGATTTTGATTCGGATTTGGTGCTAAAAGATTAAAATGGGGAAAGTTGAAAAATTGGCCATTTTCAAATTCACAAACAACTCTTACTCTTTTCCCTTTCCAGTGTCGCGGATCGTGTGTCTTCTTGAATTTTGTTCTGATTTAATACTGACTGCAGTTTTGTTAACCAATCTTGCATGTCACTTTCATTGTCTGCGGCCAATGTAAATGATTTGTGACCGGCTGTCATTCGAAGTTCAAAACAGAATCGTCCCCGTTTTGGATTCTGAAAATGTTATTGATTTTTCATCAGATTTGCGATCAGGAATTCGATATTGACGAATACAAAAATTCAACTTCAACATACCTGCACGACTTCAGTGCAAAAGTCCATGACAATTGTCGCCTTGGCCTCACATTGTTTTTCATCTTTGTGCAATTCCAGAATGTATGTTCCATCAACTTCTTGACGTAAGTAGCAGTACCTTCGTTTAAATGACTTTGATCCAATGTGAGCAAACATTCGATCGGAGGCTGTGTCTGGTCCTTTATATAAATATCCCTGTTTTGTTATAGAATCAGCTTGTGATCGTGTCATTTCTTCGTCGATTCGATCTGGATCGGTATCAACTTCGTACACTTCTTCTTTGTTGGTGCTTTCTGAAGAGGATCTGCATAAAGACAAATGAAAAAAGTTAAGAATACAATTCACAATTTTGAATTCGTTCGGATGAAATAAAAATTTCGCTTCAAGTTTCATAATTGCATGTTCATGTTCACACACTTACTTGGGTAGTTCATGATAGGATCCACTGTACGCACTGTATTTGTAATGGACGAGGTGGTTATTCGACTGATAGGTGTGTAGAGCTTGTCTCGTGAGCAACAGCCCATGAGACTGTGAGGATGGTGGATTATGACCATTTGTTATGTTCTCATCCTTGGCCTCGTCTGCCAGAGAATTCGACGAAGGCGAACCATTTGTTTTCAACGATCCATTTGACAGTTTCGTGCTACTGACTTCTTTTTTAAGTGTTGGCAATATGGGTATGAAATTGGAAGTAGTGCGGAATTTGCGTGGTAAGACAACTTGCTACATTTCAAGATAGAAGAGAAAACAAGTTTTAAAAAATTCTCCACAAATATTCTACTAAATGAATTGAACTCACCGATACATCGTCAGTCGGATAAATAAGAAGCTCGCGTTGTGGATCATTTTGGATGAGTGTTTTGTTTTTGGCAACAAAACTTTCAAAATCAATTGGCTGAACGGCTAGCGGCTTATTCTGAAGAACAAAAAACACAAAGAAAATGTAGGAAAAACGGAGAAATTTTCTCTTTCGAAAGTCTAATAAACATTGGTATTAAATCATTCGTATATATGGTTCGACATTTCTCCCATTAAAGTATTGATATAGTATTTGTGGGTTTTTCTTCCAATGAAAAAAAAACCACCAGCCTATACATAAACAGTGTGGACGGACATTTAAAACAGTGACGAAAAGCAATTGCGGCAGCAATTCATCAAAAATGATTACAAAATAAATCAATCAGTGACGTTGTTCTACAAAACGGATTTCAGAATGGATTTGGTGCTTAATATATCAGAAGATCGTGTCAGTAATGACTGCAGTCAGTTCGATTGGTTTCAAAGTAGACTATCAGGTTATTGGCATCAATGTTGTTGTTTGCCTGTTATAATCGCGCATAATTATGGTGAAAATCAAATCAGCGCCAAAAAGAACACGATTCATATTAAACAACTGTGATTTTGCGGTTGGTAGACAAGTGACAGCGCTAGTCGAAAGCAGCACTGCCATATTCAACGAATAGCAACATTAATGCGATATCGTGCAAACATCTTCATTCATGCGAACATGTTACCCGGTCTCAATGTGTGTGACTCTCGTCGAAACACTCATTGTCTCTCTGTGCAAACTGCGCATTTTTCATTTTCTTCTTTTTTCGCTATCACCGCGAATGGTATTTCTTGAGCTGTCTCTCGTATCGTTTGCGCTGATTCAATCTATCGATTTCTTTCTCCGCTGTCCCAAACATGTTTTTTTTTCATAGCCGTTGGCTTCTTCATTTAAACTCGCTAGATTAGCTTATTTGCAACACCACCGTATTAGAAAAAAATTCAATGTTGAATGAAAGTTTGAGCGCGCACATTGAGAATTGCCAATGAATTCGCTGTCGACATAAACAATGCAGAAAATTACTTTGAAACGCGCCCAGGAAAGCTATCGATTCAATCATTGGTTTGGAAATAAAATAGGCACAAATTATTGACAGCGTTCGTTAAAACGACTTGTGATTGTTTACGATCGGCCTGGTGTCATTTTTTTAATTTTATAAATAGGCAAATGATTCATGTAAAATTTATATGAGATCATCAGTGTGATTGGCTGTGTTTAGCCTCTGAATGGCCGGTGCGGGCAAAGTTCATCGATTGGTTAAGAGACATTATTATCAGAAAAATGATCGAGAGAAAATGGTTGGCATCAAATCGATGTGAATTCAAGTGAAAAATTTTAACATCACCGACTATAAAACGAAACATAATTCTTCCACAATGAAACGAAACCGTTTATCGATTGTGATTGTTTTTGGATTTTTATGCTTTTTCTGTACTCAGTTTTTTATCGTCATTTTTGTCCTGATAACAGATATGGCAAGAGAAACGGCAAACCAGTAAAATTTGTGAGCCATACGAAACGTGGCAGCTACTTAAAAAATGAATGGAAAATAACATGCTGTTTAGTCAAGCCAGCGCCTTTTTTGCAAAAAAAAACAAACGCATCCCGTACGTGAGCGGGCAATGATATTTCAGTTTGCAAAGTTAATTTGCAATTGCAATATCAACAAATCAACAAAACCCATGCAAACAAACTGAAAAACGATAAACGTTTCCTTCCTTCAGTGACTTTCATATTCACAAGCCCAAAGCGTATACTGGCAAATGCCCATGTTCAGTCGGAAGCATAGAACAGAATTATGGCCTACGGAATCATACAGCGATGATAGTATAGTAATTTAGTTGAACCATTACAAACTATCATGCAAGAGCCTCAAAATTGCACGCTTATGATTTCAAAAGTAATACGATGGATCTGAGAGTAAAAGTTTGCGTTTTATTTAATGTGCCGTTTTGTGTTACACATGGTACGATTTATTAGTGTTTCGAGGAGGAAGAGTGAAATGAAATTAAAATTTAACTGGAATTGAAGTTGAAAAACAAAACAAAAACAAATGGAATTGCACGGTGAACTCAATTAAACCTAACTCAGGCTCTCAGCCCAAATGATTATCAAATGGTCTATTTTTCAACATCGTGAACACAAACCCATTTAGTTTGTTAACATTTGGTTGTGAGTGCTCTAACAAAGGGATTAAATGACCGTTTCACAATTTCCTGCTGTTTCAAGTGGCGATTTGTAGGCTGGAAATACAAACAAAGCGCCTCGAGATTCGAGATGTTTTCCATTTATTAAAATCTTAATTAAACCCTAATTAATTTACGATGCAGACTTGTATTTCAAATGCGCAGTATGTGAGGTTGCTGGATCAAATGAACGAGAATTGCGCTCTCTGTGTGTCTGGGCATGTGTAATGAAGCCGAGCGCAAACTTCATCAACGATGAAGGCGACGCATCTGAAAGTCTTCCATGTGATTAACATTCCGATGTTCATTTGTAATCATGCACTTACAATATGAATCGTAGTGGCATCAAGGTTCTCATTTGTGCACAGAGGGAAAAAAATGTGCAATGCAACATATGTGAAATGGAATTTCGTTCTAGTGCAACACAAAACGACTCAGAGAATATTTGTTGTTTAAATTTAGATCTGGCTGCCTTTCTGTTTTGACGCGATTATTAAACCGCGTCTTCTAAATGGCATGCGAGACGCATTTTGATGACAGTTTTTCTTTTCTTATTTTCATCAAAACAAAATGCAGTCACGAAATATTAAATTCGATGCACGACCAAGAATTTCAGTTTTTTTTTCATTCGCTCGAAACACAATGAAACTGCCTTAAATACTTCATTTCTAATCTTTTATGCACAATAGACAAACTTCATTTTTTTATATGTTTAATCCCAAATGTGAACAAAGAACTGCAACAAGTTAACAAAAATGCATCGAAGATTTCTCATTTTGTCGATTAAATGTGAATAAATCAAATGTTTTTATAGTTGAACAAACACATAAACCGGTGGGATGTTTGAAACGTGTAAATAATAATAATAAATTCTATGGTTTGTATTTACACATTGAATTTACTAAGAAGTATCGTTACACTATCTTTTCATTTTAATCCCATACAGTAGTATAACGATGGCATTGAGCGAGACAGAGAGACCAATTTCGATATTCACATGACACGATGTGAAAAACAAAACGCAGTCGCTGTTTAGTTTTTGTCGGATTTTGTGACCGACTCATAAAAACGTGCATGTGAATGTGTGTCGCAGTCACTTGTATAGCTTCGTCGTCGACAACATTATGAAACGATGGCAGTATGGCTATCGCAATGCAATTTCAATCACGTCCAATCAAATAATTTTTTTCTGAGAGGTATTCTACACGAAGTAAACCCAAAACGTAGATTATCATTGTTCTCCTTTTGGGATTTGCTTGAAGAATCACTCAAACTCAAAATAGAGAAAATTTAAATGCATATTTGGTGTTTTTTATGGTCTTAATGCTCTGTTATTTTTACGTCACATCCCAACAACTACCGAACAACGCTTTGAAGTGTGCTTGCTTAATAACTGTCTGGTAAAATGGTTTTAGCAGTTCATTAAAATGTAACACTCAATTTACAAAAAGCGTCTATATTTCTTTCGACTGAAAAATAGTGTCTGTAAAAAGCAAGAGCCGAAAATGTGGAGCTCCGAATTTCATGGCCCAAAATTCAACCGTTAATTGGAAGACACAATTTTTGAATGTTGGTTTGTGCTTGTGAATTGACGGAACATAGATTCATTAAATGATTTTTACTGCTTGAATTGAGAAAGCCAATGAATTGCTTTCTTGTTGAATGAAAAACTTTTCTAGGGCGTTTTGTATGAAAAACATTTTCGATTTTTGAACTGGCAAGGTGATGAATTTCTAGGTTTCACTTAAACACAACTTCGCCGATTCGGGCGTCACGATGAACTGAAAAAACATTCTTGGCTCATAATCCAATGGAGCGTCGACCGAATGAATTCGAAATGTATGTCTATGAATCAGGAACTATGTTTACTTTGCATCACACGAATGTCAAATCAAAAACGAGAAAGTGATTTTCCAAGAGGGAAAAAAAACTAACTACTTTTTTTTCTCGGTAAAATGTGAGTTCATAAAACGAGGCGAATTTATTAGAAGACGGATGGAAATTTCGAATATTCGCGCACTTTTGTCGCTTGACTGAGAGAGAGAGAGGTTTAATGAACCGGCCACTCCTAAATATGATGTGCATGAAACTTGTTTGCTTTTATCAGATACAAATTTGATGACTAGAAGTCGTCTTCACAACGGAATCCCATATGCATATATGGCTTAAAAAGGTAATTACATTATTGTTCAGAGGTACGCTTCGGTGCTCATCCATACGCGGTGAGCCGATATTTCTTTGCTGGCTCGAAATGATTTATGGGTGTCAACAGCCCTCTTCGGCGGCGATAAAAACGAACTATTCTTTAAATAGAATGAAATCGGCCAGTGACAAATATATACATATATCGATCAGCAGAGCAGCGCCTGATTCAGCATACCGTTACAACGCCGAAATGTGATGGACGTACGGAAGAAAAGATGGTAAAAAGAGAGATCAAAAACCGCATGTCACTCATTTGCGTAAAGCAGAAGTGATACGGTGGTCTACTTTTCTCTGCGAATTTCCAGTTTGTCTAGAAAACCAGTTATGGGTTGATTATTATGATATATGCGGTTTATGATAATAAGTGTCTTCAATGAAAATAGTTGAGATCACGCAATTAATCAATTTGCCTAGTGGATTTTGTCTGTCCGTTTAATTTTATCTGGTTCAAACGATGGCTACAAAGCACGAAGTAGTCGCATTAAGAAAAAAAAGCGGTAGCAATAGCAAACTTGCGAAAGTTGCGCAGAGATTTCTACGGATCCATAAAACGGGGCAAATTTACCAAGTTTGAGTGACCACTTATCCGAGAAAATCCAACGCGATGAATGTTAGCATTCATTATAATTTGTGATGATAAACTCCGTGTTTTCCCCCCGTGAACAGTAATGACCATAATAAATGGCGAGAATTTCTTGACTTCGCTTCATACCTTGCAAATGGTCGTCGTTTCGTTCACAAATTCAAGATACTAGATCTAGAAAAATTTCTTCGCAAAGAATTTGCTGAATTACCAGACAATGACCGTGAACGATATAAATGAAATTCAATGCAAACAGCGAAATAGTAGACGAGAAAAGAGAAAAAAGACCAAAAAAAAATTACATGACTTTTTTATCTCTCTCTCTCCGCCACTTCCACCGCGAAAAGTAGAGCGTATTGTTTTTCATTCCATTATTATGATTCAGCTGTATAGTATGTATCTACGTTAGTCATGGAGCACTGAGCCCAACGCGCAATGATATACAGTGGCAACCAAGTATAAAATCGACACAAAAATTATAACAAAAACATATGGCAACCGATTTCTTTTGCAATTTTCATTCGTTTTATGTTTTCCGTAGCTCCCAGGCTATACGATGTACATGCACATGTGAATCTCACTTAATGGATGTGAATGTGAGTAATTCTATCAAATAGAATTCTGGAATACACCCATTGTTTTTGCGCGCGAACGAAGAATTTTTTTCTCTTCTTCTTCTTTTTCGTCTTTGTTTCATGTACACTTTTTTATTGTCTCTCTATTTCCACTTTGATACGATGTGTCATAAGGCCAGTTGCTTTGCTCTGAAGTGAAATAGCAATTTTTCCATAGAAGATAGGAAAAAAAAATACAGACACAAATCACATGTGTGAGTCTGTGGCATTGCAACGACGAGCCAATCGTTGTTGCTTTTTTTCTTTCTAGCATGCAGCAGAATGCAGACTCATCGCCAAGAATCTGCATTGCATGCTGACGCTCGCTCTGTGTGAAGCGTGATTGCTGCTGTGTCATTTTTCAACGGTTCAACTCCAAATTTACACATAACAAATATATTCGCACATAATTATGTGAGCTTTCGCTTACAATTGCAATTGCGAAGCCACGCGCGCGTTGCGTTAAGGTAGAAGTCTAAACTTGACTTCAGCGGCTTTTCGGTTCAGCTCGAAGACATTTTGCAATGCAGAAAAAAAGCAGATGCGAAATGAAAAGAAATTGTTCGAGTGAAAATTTTAGCGTTGGAAAAAAGAGAATGGCTTGTGAATTATGGCACAAGCAAAAAATCGGAACGATTCATTGGCAACGCATTCGACGACGACGACGCAAAAGTCAATGTTTTGCACCGGAGAAATTTTCCGATACAAAAATGGCAATGTTAATTAGCACTTTGCAGGCATTTTTTAATTAATCGCTTGATTTGATCGAGCCCCCAAATGGTATGCTTGGAATTCGAAAGTTCATTGCTCACACGAATTGAAACGGAGAGAAAAACATCCATGGGAAAATCATTGATTTGCGATCGATATAATTTTTATGTTCATTGTATTAAAATTAACCACTTTCCTGAAACAAACACGCATCGATTCAATCGGTCCGTGAGCTGGAGTTGTTTATTCCGCAGGTCAACACCCGAAATTAGTTTGACAAACACAAATGGTATCTGTCAACATGCACGTCATGTTATGCTTAGCATAAAAATTTATTATTTTAGCTGCGGAACGTAACACGAACAAAAGAGTAATACAAATATATGCCCAGGATTGAATAACACAGCGAGCAAATGTCGAGGCTAGATATTAAGTGATTGTCATTTATCAATTAATGGCGCTGATAAACGTGACTCGAGCGGTTAACGTGTGTTCTTCATTTTTTGTTATTCTACAACAGTTTTTGATGTAATACGTGCTCATCGTGACAGGGTGAGGCAACACTTTCAGGCGGAAATCGTATTATATACAATCTCATTTGATTGGTTTTTATTATCATGGGTGTCATCGATATCGCTCTTATCGTTTCAACGTAATAAAGTGCGGCTGATTGTAATAATTTGGGTGAGACGTAACAATGCTCAAGTTTATGCATATACACCAACTGGCCATGTGAAAGTCTAATCGATGAATAGATCTATGGAAGAAAAATTGAAACCGAAAACACCGTGTGTTTACATATAACATTATGTGTGTCCAGACGTATGTTCACATACGCCTGAGAACTTCCATTGTTTGTTTAAAATTATTGTGCTTAGATACGCCGTAATAAGAGATGGCACAAACAAACGCCATGTCTAAACATCGAATTCTGATTTCATGATTACCTCATCGACCTGATTTTGTGTTTGGCATCCGAGCATCATTTTCGTCTAATTTATGTACGCCGAATACGAAAAGAACGACTTTCGGGCCGACTTGTGCAGTTACTGCCAAAACGCTAAGTCGTACGCAGCGATAAAAATAAATTCATAAAATATGTGTTTACGTCCATATTTTCAAGTCGTCTCTCTCTCTGTATCGCTCTCCACTACAACATCGGAAACAGATGTTCTTTACTATAAATACTTCTATAAATACACATGATAGGCATCACAAAAAAAAGATTACTAAGTCGCCCGATGTTAAAATCAAGATAATCTTGATAGAACCAAAAAATTCTTGCCATAAACTGAAGTTATCAAGTTTTTGTACATAATTTCATCAAAATATCGCTACTTAATACGAGCTATCACAAACAACTTAAGGAAATGAAAACTTCTTCAACAATGAAGTAATGCGTCAAAAGTACAAGGAAGCGTCTGCTCAACAATCCAATTGGTTGCGAAATCGATTTTTACACAAGCAAAATGAGTCATCACTTGTGGGTGCTGCTACCGTAGATATCCAACGGGAGCACGTTTTCCAGGCAGTCGATTTGCGAAAGAAGGTCAGTGCACTGCTTTATGGAGAAATCAGTGACATTTCGAGCCACTGATGAAAGACCTTTTTATTCATGCTATTTTCAGCGTTTGATGCACTTTTGCATCGATTTATCTCTCGTCACAATCAACACAAGTAAAAATTGGTGATTCAACAGAATTTGCCTGCAGCATTGAATGTAAACGTCCTGTTCAATCGCACCAAAAAGCCATTGTCTGCATAAGAACACTTCACTGCATTCATCCCACATTCAAACACATAGCTAAAGTGTGATATATAAACATGAACAAACAAAAATAAGAACTTGCATCACAACCGACACACACACACGACACTATGGAGCCACCACACACTCCAATCAACTCTTCAATTGGTCGAACCAAATAACAACATTTAGATTGATATATGTATGTTAAGCGAAATAATAATGTAATCGGAACACTTACAAGCACTGCACTTTCGCGTACGACTTGCGAAACAGATTCACGTAATTGGGCCGCCATTCCCGGTTTATTAAGACCACGGGTAAATTTACGTTCGGCCATGTCGCTAATAAATAAAACTAAAAAAATAATAAAAAACACAACGACGCAAAGTAAAAACATTCATTCAATCGTTCTTGTCGCCTGGTGCCCATGTATACGCACTCCGATCAAGTGGTATACACGCTGTTTGAACTTTAATCGATCGAACTCAAAACGAACCAAACAAAAGAAGACAAAAGAAATAAAGACGAAATAAAGAACTGAATTAACAAATTGTATTCGTATTTCGTATTCACACAATGAAGTTCTGTGAATCGTGGTTTTCTTCCTCTTCTTCTTCTTTTTCTTCCTTTGGTAGACAATAATTTCTCACTGTTATTATTCTGACGCGCTTTCGCTTTCACAATGCAAAATCGATACACTTGAATTCATCCAATGGAAATATCGATTTTCACTTTTAGTTTCCATTCGACCACATTTTTACACAATTTGCAGTAATTTTACTTTCCGCTTTCAATTGAAATTCAGTTCGTAGATATATTTCTTTTTGGAAATTCAATAATCCGATCGCGTGGACAGACACTCTGTCGATATTCATTTATACGACACTCCCCGACGCACTTGTTTATCTAAACGCCATACAAACTGAATGCCGAACACAAAATTTACTAAAATCTCATTGCACATATTTTCTCTCTCTATTCTTTCTCTGCTGTTAGAAGTTTTAGTTGGTTTGTTGTCTGGGTGTTTGATTGTATTGGTGAATGCGTTTGTTTGTCTTTTTTTTGTTATAGTTTGTTGTTGTTCGGTTTATAATAAATAAAAGCGAAAAGTGTCAATCTACGACCGACCGTGTTCAAACGCTCAACAATACTAAAAGTCATGTCGTTGCTGTCGTTGGTATCACGCAGCTAAACCACTGCCGTATTCCGTTCTACACAAGCATGAATGAAGTATGTACGACACAGCCGCAGCTGATATATACACTTCAGTGTGACCGCGCGGTTATTTAACTGCTTAACATACACATTTATGTGTGTGTTAATATGTTTCAAATGGTTCCGACAATGAATGAACGGTCCGTAGTTTGTGAGTTGCCGCACGCCTGGCGCAATACAATCTCTCCGTAAACTCTCCACATGGAGAGAATACGATTTGACAGCTTTGACACATCGACTCAATAAGCAAGAAACGTCATTGTTTACATCTTTATATTTTGCATCATTTTTGTGTTTTTGACATGTTCATTCACTCTCGCTTTTTTTACTGAAAAAAGTTATTGTCTTTTGCTATTTTTACAATCGACTCGATAATTAATCTGTTGATTTTTTTCAAAGTTAAATATGTGGGGGTAACGTGTTCGGAATAATACACAAATGGATATACAAAACAGCAATGGGAAGCACATTCAAGGTGAAATAAATGTAAAATTAGTATTTTTGTACGTTTTTTTACGATGTCTCTGTTTATTATTTTATTTTTGAAGTGAGTTTACCCATGAATATTGCGCAGGAACAATATGTTTTCACGGATCATTACAAATCATTCGATCCGAACATGTGTTCGGCGGCTGAGTACAGTCCACCACCACCAGCCACCAATTCAAATAGTCAACAAACGGCAGTCATCACACCTTTTCATACGATTGCATCGAATTTTAATGAGCTGCCCAATCAAAATTCGGAAATTGCGCTGGTTTCTGCATCCGAAGTACCAAGCAACTGCATCACCTACAGCAATGTCATATTTGTGCCGACAATAGCGAACAATGAAAATCAGCTGGACCAAATGGGAGGCACGATCGAATTGGTAAAGCATGAATCAGACGTGTCTGGAGCTGGAATCAACGATTCGCAATCATTCAAATATATTGTGTCTTCTGAGCCGCGCTTTGTAAATACTTTTATACGAACCAATGATATCGATAATACGGCTACAGTTTTGAGCAATGATTCGAGTGGTGCGTTTATTGGCCAACCGATTACAAATGTTCCACAGATCGATGAGAGCAATTTAATTGTGAATTCCATTCCGGATGAAGCCAACCAAATCCATCAGCACTTGAACAATGTTGAATCAATCGACCAGAATCAGATCACCGTCCAAATGCACACAGGCAACGACCAAGAAGTGTTGATGCAAGATGAAAATGGACAACTTTATCGACAAGTGCAGAATATCCTAATCAACGGAGCTTCAATGTGTCCAAGTGAACTGTTGCCCATCCTGTCGGCGCCAGTCGATCTAGGTGACCCGGACTATGTCGACAATCAGCTGCAAAGTATTAGCAGGATACAGAATTCATTCAATCAGCGAGAAAATTCATTGCATGAAATTCCCTTTCAAATCCCGGTGAATTTCGTATCAAATTCAGAGCCAACCGAAACAATGCCAGTCACTTCAAAATCTATCGATACAAATCTGGATATGCAACAAGTTGAATTCATTTTTAACAGTTACAAAAATACCCATGCAAATCAAATTGATACAAACCAATATGGAACTGAACAAGGCATTTTGAATAGCAATACGAACTATCAGCAAAATACATCAATGCAATCGAACAACGATTCTGCCAATCAACAGAGAAATTTGCTTGAGAGCACTATGTCAACGCTATGTAAGTCAACATATTCATTAATTATTTAAGTTCCTTTCGAAAAAAACTCATAAATTCTCCATTTGTCATTTTTTGTTCCAGTGGCTGCCGTGAACGACATAACGGCTCGTGATGAACAGTTCCAACAATATCTGAATACGAGCAAAAGTGTTCCAGACCACAGTTTGGATTATTACTCCGCATCGCAAGTTGAGAATATACCACAATCGATTTATACCAGCCCAACGACTAAAAACCCATCGGAATGTGCAAAAGAGATGCCAAAAACTTTTTCTCTTGGACCAATTTCAAACGAACTCTTCTCAAATAGCTGTGATTCGCCGATAAATGAATTTGTTGACATCAACGATATGGAAATCATCAAGAAAAATGTGCAAAGCCAACAGGGTAGAAATGTTATAGTGAGACGATCGCGACGAAGGAAAACTACAAAGCGAAAAGACGATGCATGTACGTATTATTTAAATAATTTTATTCATAAATCGTTTATTTTTCCCAAACATAAGATATATATTTTTCCCTAATAGTGCTAGTTGTGGATAAATTTGTACCAAGTCGGGCTCTAGCTACCTTGCCAACATCTTATTTGTACTTTGAGAACAGCCTTGAAGCCAACCGATCAAGTAAGTAGTTTATCAAATCCAAATGTCATCTTTCAGTACAGTTCCGGATTGGCCAAACTTTTATGAGTGAATTCCTCCTTATATTCGGTCAGAAATCCTCTATTCGGCACAAAATTGCTTTGGTTTGCTCGATTGATTTTTGATGTATTGTCTAAATCTCTTTTTGGAATTGGAACATCGCATGGAATGGTTCTACCTCTTGTTTTCGGTATTTGTAGCCAATCCCAAGTCGTTATAGCATCATGTTTGATCTCTCGCGGTGAGAATTGTCGATGATCTAGAGTTTTTGTTGTTGCATAAATATCCAAATACTTTTCATAACCGCAATGTTTCACATCAATATCGACAAATTGATGATCTGGCCGTGAGTGAATGATACTTGGCGTTTGTTGTCGATGTGCAATTCGGTCACAAGGTTTGAAATCGCTTTGATATGTCGAACCATGCTTTGAGTGCTGAGGAAGCAGCTGATTACCACGTTCGTAAAGCTCTTGCGGATAAACAAATCGTGAACACGGTACTGGCACTTCGAAATGATTTTTGTAACTCGAATAAGGAGTTTTTTGGAATTCGTCACTGTATTCGGATTTGAATGTATAATTGACCAAACAACTTTTTGGACAACCACTCGATGACCAATCGCACATTTTTGTGAGACTGACAAAATATTTTTAGATAATTTTTTTCATCAACTGAAAAACTGGCCCTTAAAGAACGACAATAACTGAGAGTCTAATCTAATCTAATGAAAATTCTAAACAAACTCAGTTGCTATGGTTACATTTACGTATTTCTAACTTCCATTTTTAGATATTCCATCACATATTCAACGCAAATTGAAACAAATTACTCAACGAACTTTTCTATATATTTTTCAGAACAATCCGTATTTGCAAAGCGGGAAATTCCGTTGGATATGAAATTCGGACCGTTTGTAGGAGACACCAAAACACTAAATAAACATGAAATCAAAATGTACAGGGAAACAAATCAAAATAATCCGTTGCTATTTTTAAGTCACAACTCGGTATTGGATGTCTCAAATGAAAGTGAGTAGCTTTGGTAGAACTGCAAAATTCGACAAAATCAAAATTAGCAATTTCTATAAAGATTAACAACTCATTTTGATAACACTCTTCTTAAACAGATACGTCAAACTGGATGCGTTTTGTGCGACTGGCTACGAAGCACCGCGAACAAAATCTTCTACTATGTGTTATAAACTCTCAACTCTATTTCAAGTGTTGTAAGTCTATTGTTGCAAAGCAGGAGTTGCGTGTTGGATATAGCAAGGAGTACGCGCATAAGTACCATCTGAATCAATTAATCGCAGAGAAACCAGAAAAACCCACTGAATATCTCTGTATAAAATGTGATGAACGATTTTGCAACAATGAACAACTAAAAAATCATCAAAACGAACATAAAACGAACAATACAAAGCCCCCCGTGCAGTCAGTGCCTCGAACTACACCAATAAAAAACAATGACTCAACTATATCTCCAAATAAGAGCAAAGACCGATTAAACACCGGTGCAATTCGAATGCGAAAACTAGCCCTATCAAAACTATCACGCACTTCAGGGCCGACAGTTCGATACGCGTGTTGCTATTGCAGTAAAGTCTTTTCGAAATTTCTAAACTACAAAAAGCATACGAATATCGTGCATTCGGTTGACATCGAACACAAAAGAGTGAAAGTCGATGCACAACACAAACGATTGACCGTCGAAGATTCCGTGATGAAAAAGGAGCCCATAAAGGAAAATGAGAGCGAGAATATTGATGCCAAACAGTGGTTTGTTTGTCAAACGTGCCAGCGACACTTTGTAACAGCTAAGAAACTTGAGGTTAGAAATTGTTTAGAATAATTGATTCATGGAAGTTTTGATTTTCCTAAGCAAATTTGTTATCATTTGTTCTTCTTCTAGAAACATCACCTTTCAAACTGCAGTGATAAGGAATCGATGGCCGTTCAATGCCACATTTGCTTGAAGCATCTACAAACCCCGTCGGCATTGAGCATGCATATTAAAACGCATAATTCACCAAGTGGAATTTGCATATGTCCGTTCTGTTCGCAAAGATACCAAAGCACAATCGTATTTAAGGAACATGTAAAAAGTCATATGACCAATGGGACGTATAAATGCCCACATTGCACAAAAGATTTTCCAAAATACTCATCGGTTCGGAAACACATTCGAATAAACCACTCAACCGTTCGATTTGTGTGTCATGAATGCGGCAAAGACTTTAAGTCGAAATATAAATTGAAAGAACATTCGCTGAGGTAAGCAGTCTACGCGAAGTTTCGAATAGAAAAAATGTTTGATTCAGTTCAGAGTCAAACAGCTTCATGATTTTCATTCTATTTTTTTTTTTCATTAGTCACTCTGACGTTAGAGAATTCTCTTGTGATGACTGTGATAAACAATTCAAAAGAAAAGGTAAGGAATTGTGAAACTTTTTTGTTTTTTTCTTGTGTATTTTCAACAGTTCAATTTTCATGTCACTCATAGATAAACTCCGTGAGCATATTCTGCGAATTCATGCCAAAAAAAGTTTTTCAAGGAATAGCAAAAAATTCAAAACAAATATCAAAGGCGAATCTTTGGAGACATCACGCGATGAGGCACCAGCAGAAGATTATGCCAACGATGAAGATCTACTTTTAACTGAGGAAAAAGACTGTACCGTGCAATGGAGTTCAAAATCGATGCAATCGGATGATGAACTGCCAGATGTGGATTCAACAGAGGCTTCAAGTAAGCCAAGGTTCAAGCCAAAAGTGCCACCAACCGATTACGAACGATTTATATACAAATGTCAAGATTGTATGCTTGGGTTCAAGCGACGCGGTAAGAACGAAAGGCAACAGCTTTCTCAAGATCTCAAAATAAAATTACAATAAAAACTTCTGTTTTCAGGAATGCTAGTAAATCACATGGCCAAACGACATCCGGAGATTCGTATTGATTCAATACACGAACTGAATTTACCGATTCTAAAAACAGAGCGTTGTTTCTATTGTCAATACTGTGAAAAATCGTACAAAAGTAGTTCAAAGCGCAAGGCACACATCCTGAAATATCATCCAGGACAACAATTACCGGTGTCAACACGGTATAAAAATGAAGAAAGCGAGAATGCTCTAGAGCAGAATCCATCATTCATAGCGAATATTGGTAGCATTACAACCCATGCTCACCAGTGCAAATGGTGCTACAGACAGTATGCATCGCGAAGTCGACTACTTCAACACAAACGAAAAGATCACAGCAAAGAAATTGAAGATTCGTACAAACACAAACAGAATGATTATTTCAAGGATTTGAACATGATAATGGATTCACACTTCCAACCATCTCAAATGCAAATAAACCAGAGCATTGACGACTATACAATGAAATTCAACGAGATGCACGACAACGAATCACATCGATTCCATCACATTGGGTATGAGCCGGAAAATCGGTTGCTAGAATTGTCATCGGCTGCACTTGAATCATTCAAAGACGACTATTCATTTTTGAGCGATAGCGATGTGCATACGGAAGCAATGGAACATTCAAACATAGGTGGTTCAAGAGTTGATGTCAATTTCAAAATGGTTGGTGATGAATTTGGACAAGAAAGTTCCAACTGTGATCTAAATAGTCTACCGCAATTGTTTGAAGAAATCGATTGTATGTCATTGAAGCCTAGCCAATTTGCTCCGAACAGTTCAACGCAAATCGATGGCAGCATCGAAAAACTCAGCTATAACAAATAGCATGTGATTGACATTTGAATTTTGAATAAATCTAATAATTTAATTATGAAGAACTTTTGTTGATTTCATTTCATGTGGGAGCTGAATATTGAATAAATGAACCACGAGTGTACGTCGCACATATCCACTGATTATTAATCAGTACTCTTAACTTGACCGAAATCATTTGTAATTGAAGAGGTTTTCGGTTTTCATGGAAAGCCAATTTCCAGAAACTCTCGACAAAAATTTGGGGACTTTATTTCTCCATTTACACACTCATACAGTTTTGAACTTATGCAAAAAAATAGAATTGCAATCGATTTCTTTAGGACGGAGAAAGAACTAATTAATTGATCTCGCTTAACACTTTAATGCATTAATTTTTCCCAGGGCTGGGAGTACTGGTACTTGGTTGATTTTTGGCCATAGATAATTAAAAAAATATTCATAGTCCTGGATTCCTCATGGTTTAGTCAGGAAATGTGATTGACATAAATCAGAGAACAATCAAATCTATTGTTTAAAAGTGTCTAAAATTTGTCTAATTTGGAGTTCGAATAATTTTCTTGGTCAAATTTTACTTTTCCCCACCCCATGTCGTGGATCACGCTCTCGCGTGATCACACAATATGAGTGTGGGGAAGAAAGTATTGATTTCGGCCCAAATTTTTTGCATCCCCAAAATGTTATTTTCTTTTCATTTCACATCCCCCCCAGACCCAAAAAAAAACCCTCGAGCGAAACATTTGAAAAATACTCTAAAAATGACCCTTTGACACTTCTTAATTTTAATTTATTTTTTGGTCATTTGGGACAGTCGAAAAATTCAAAAGTGCTTATTTTCCGTTATTTGGCATCGTACTCGAGTTAATCATGCAGCAAAAATTAAGTTTTTTTAAAATTCGAATTATTTTTTTTTACCTGTAAAGTGAACCACACGTATAATATAATAAGTATTTTCATACGTGTGTGTAAGAACAAAAAAATTCAAAAATTCTGAAGTTATAACAGAAGAAAAGAAACTCATCATGCCCAAAACGAAGAAGAAATCCGCGGCACAAAATCTCGCCTATTAAAAGACTCAAGAAGAGCAAGTAAAATACTCCCGGTATTAACTACTTGGCTTAATGGTTGTTTGTGCCATTCTAATTTTCCACAATATGGGGAAGGGTCCTTCCTTATGGATGTGAGGCCCTTTACTGATTGGTGGGCATGCATTTTATTCTTGGTATATTGGAACCATTTATAGTATTTTAAGAGATAAAGTACAGATTATGCGTGGAATTTGTTTTTGAAGGTATTTTTTAATACTTCTTTACTTTACTAAATATATGTTGATGTATATTTATTTTATTTATATTTTATTTTAACACCGCCAAGCTCTGGCTAAATATAATGAGGTTTAAATAAGTGTTTGGACGGAAAAGAGTGCAAGACTGTTACATCAATTTATAATGATAAAATAATTTACACCAATTTAGTACAACTTCCAATTTTCGCCTCGTTAAACACCTGGCTCTTTCCATAAATCATACAGTATTTACAAAAGTAGGCACATGAAAACCAAAACAAAGTCATACAACCAAGATGGAAATGCTTGATAGTAGGCAGATAGGAAACGGTCCAAAATAACCTTTGGTAAACGTTTCCAAAGGACAAAGGCTATGTGAAGCGTTTTATTTTACACTTTAATTGGTGACTCTAGGACAGCAAAAGTAGTCACTCAATCTTACCTGTGGATAAATTGACGAGAAGTTTTACGTCGGTTTAGGCAGATCCATGTTGGCTGCAGAGTGCTTTGAGTTAAATAATTGGCCATGATTTGAAGCGTATAAATTGCTATATGATGCTAATATGAAAATAATTCTAGAACTGGAATAATAACTCGCCAACTCAATGGATGGCTAAGACAAAGATCAATATCAAAATTTACAATGAATAGAGTAAAAATCACAGATAGGTATCATTATCATAATACACATAGGACAATGTAGGGGGACAATTCGTCAGTCATTTAATGATAATTTGTGTCATGTGTACCGTGTGAAAATGAGTTGAATCGCGTTCAAATGATGGAAATTCCGGTCATGACTCTTTCATGATGGTTTTAATCAGCAGCATTTCAATAGTGGTGTCAGGGCATATGCTGCGTTGTCTTTGGTGGACTCGAACAGGTTGACGTCATGGCAATTCCATAATTAGTGAGGGCAGTATCAACGTGTTCTCGTAGAGAACATATACAAAAAATATGCCGTTGAACGTTGACCGATACCAATTTTGATGCGTCGATGTGGATGCAAGTATTAATGCAGTTTTCGTAGAACAAAATACGTTCGTTCACATAAAGTTTGTGTCACGGTAGACAAATTTGTGCCTTCGGTTTGGAAGCAAGCGCAGAGAGAAACGAAAGTGCTCTTCTCTGTGATATTTACAATAAAATTGTACCGATACGTTTTCTTGTATTCTGAAATAAAAATACAAATCCACAGATGTTTGTTTTTTGATTATTGGCGAAAGAAATGTTGCTACTTGTATTGATGATTTCCATAACTAGAGATGGTTCATCGTTTACCACAAGTGTATGGAAATGTGTATCAGTATATACTAAAACGTATACCTTTGCGTTTAACGCGTTGAGCGCATGCGTCAGCTACTACTTTTGTGACAGCGAACGCAAAGGTATATCAATGTATATATACCGTTCTGTACGGAGTACAGTAAATACAACGAATTGATATATGTACATATACTCCATCTCTATCAATGGCCCATGCTAACGAAAGAATACATTGAGAGGCATCCTCACTTTTACCGTAGTTTTGAACTACACGGGTTATTGATAGAAACTTTTGCTCCATATTTTTATGACGAATTTTACAAATTTTATTGAAATTTTCAGAAATGTTTGGAAAGATACAATCCGCGATGTTGGGTATGGAACTCAATTGCTTCTTTCTGCCAAAAGTCAGAATTCCTCACGGTGTCATCTGCTATGTATTCAATTCCAATTTAACTGACTCTTTTCCATGCGTCGTTCCAAGTTGCGATTATATAGAGTGGGTCCATAATTGCTTCACAAATGCCAATAAATTCAAACACAAGGGCCAAATATACACAAGACCATATAAGACCATATCATGAATTGGCCGAGTCATACGTTTCTGGTTTTATCAACATAACCGATAATCGAATTACAAACGATGCGTACATTATGAATTGGATCAATCGAAACCAAAACGATATCAATTTTTTGACGTACTATATTTTACTGAAACCAGAGAAATTGAGAACCTATCTATCAATGCCTATTTTCGAGCTTTAAGTGTAAATTATAGTGAGTTCTACCAATATGTCGAGGGAAGGGAAGAATATACAAAGAAGGTGAAGCAAGAAAGCACACACACAATAGTGAGGAGTTAAGTTTTATACTAAAGTGTCATAACCAATACATTCACATATAGTTGACATATTCGAATGGGATGAATGTCATCTCATTTGTGTATATTTGTTGGTGCTGACATCTGCTTTTGCGATGACCTTTATCCCATTCGTATATGTCAACTATATTTGAATGTATTGGTTATGACACTTTAGTATACAACTTAACTCCTCACTATTGTGTGTGCACAGTCGACCTATACGCGCAGATGAAGAATGAAACTTATCAATACATGAGTAGCGTACAATGGGAGGTTCCGCCGATGAATCCATACAATGAGAATCACAAAGAATATATCGATGTGCATTAGACTGCTTCAAAAAAAAAAGTTACGTTTTTCATGCATTTTTCTATGAAATATCATTTTTTGTTCGAGAGATACCCCGAAAATCATTCATAAGAGATTCTTTGTGAGTAGATTTCCAATATTTCCCGAAAAAAATAACTTTGTACTAAGAAACTCATCCAAAAAGTGTATTTTTGGGGAACCTTCCGAACAAAAATTGATATTTTTATAGTAAAATCCATGAAAAACGTATATTTTGTTCGGGAGGTACCTTAAAAAGTTAATTTTGAGAGTTTTTGTCTGGGTAGACTCTTCATATTTTCGAGAAAAAATAACATTGCACCAAGACACCATCCCAAAAAAGCCTATACTTAAGGATTTTTGGTCAAAAGTCGATTTTTTGGGAGTTGAAATCGAATATGAGGCCAGAAATATGTGAAAACATCACTCGATTTGGTCATGTAAGTACCCAAAATGTTCGTAAGGGATCATACTAGATGTTCAAAGGCAGAACTGGTAGAAATCGCTTGCTTTTATTTGTCAAATCGAAGCACATGTTTGTGATTTGCTCATTTTGGCCTGAAATTTGTCTTATATGTGTGAATCAATCGGCACTGAATTCCATCCAAATTGCAATCTGAGAAGTGCCAAATTGTTCATACGGCTGCTGGCTACACGACACAAGCCGAAAACTGAACAAAAGTCCACCGCCTGGGTGACCAGTAAAGCGAAAAATGCAAAAAATGCCGAAAAATTGTCATTTTTCTGGTCATTTTACACTGCAACTGGCCCAGAAGGCCTTTCAAAGGGCTGATGTCTTGGTAAAAGTTCTAGATATTGACGAGCCCGACAAAACCTCATCATCAGTTTTCGCCGAAAATTAGCTGGGATAATGAAATTGGTTGAAATGTTGCGATCTAAAATGGCTTCCAAAAATACTGTCATGAAAATTTTGATGTGCGGCTTGCTATGGTTTTTTATATGGTACCCATGTCATTTTTTTAGACAGAACCTATTTTTTTGAGGTATATTTTTCGAAACTGGCCGGACATTCCAGATGAGGGACAACTTTTTTTTTTTGAAGCAGTCTAATGTGCATATTCCAGAGCTCGATTATAGTTATACGATACAGATGGGTCTCATCGGTTAATCAACAAATCAAACGATGTGTACGCTATGAATTTGATGATACGAAACCAAAACAATCTCAAAAGTTTGATGTACCATTTTTTTATTATTTTAACGATCCGAGGGAATAAAATTCCAACAACGTTTCAACGATTAAATTTAGCGAGGTTGCTCAACGTTTTTATGAAAATTAGCGAATCTACCCAGGCATAAATCTGTTGTCACTCATTATATCGTAGATGAAGGATCAAAGAAAAGATAGAAATACAGGGTGTGCATGAAAAACTGTTTTGGTGGTCTCTGGACCCAGCAGGCGTAGGATCGGTAACGTTACACGTGCGATTTGAGTGCTCCAAAAACCACAAAAGAAAATAAAAATCATATTTTCTCGAATTTATTATTAAAGTTTTGGCCCATTTCTACAAAAATATGTAAAAGTTCTTGTAGTTTTGTAAAAGCATAGTAGAAATCTTGTGCTTTCAAAAAACGGTCGGTAACGTTACAAAAATCGGAAAAAAATCGAAAATTTGAAGATTTTCATATGAAAAAATTATCCGAATTGGATAAAATTTTCAGAGAATATAAGTTTTATGAAATAATTAGGCTATGCAAAAATTCATAGCGATCGAACGACGTTAATATACTTTTTTGCTCCTTAGAAACATTTTTTGCGTGGTTCCGTCTTACTGACCCTTGTCCATATACAGTAAATATGCTATTTTCTCAGGACACTATTTGGGCCCCGGCATGTTAGGTACCGTTGGAAAGGTCTTGGCCGAAATAGTCGGAAACACTATATCCCCCATGCCTAAAGTGTGGTCTAGGTGTGGTCTGGACTTTTTTCTTTTGTATCACATAAACATTGGCATGTGTGTATGGAACTTTTTGAAGGTCTTCTCAAATAATTACGAACTGAGTTTGCCCGATGGGTGTCTGAGTTGATCTAGTGTGCGAAATAAATACTTGAAAAAATCGTATACATGCAGGCTAGTGAAGCCATAGCCAGCTCTACTGTGATGCAAATGTCAATCTGAGGACGGGTTTCGATGTGGCCCGACACCAGCTACAGCTTGAGCATATCGGCACCGGAGTCTGTGGGGGTCAAAAAAGTTTCCGGACAGACGGACGAACGTACGGACGCACATCCAAATCAATACTTTCATGAAAAACCATGGTCAAACTGCCAATGCCCATAACTTTTTTGTTTTTGGACCAATCGGGGCACTTAGACCGGCGTTGGAAAGATGGCGAGGAGGAGCTTCTCTTGGACACCTCAGACTACCCCCTGGGTACCCCTTTCATAAGATATGGGTATAGATTTGAAAATTTATCGAAATTTTCCAACTTTTTTGTCTAGACCACACTTTAGGCATGGGGGATATGGTGTTTCCGACTATTTGGGCCAAGACCTTTCCAACGGTACCTAACATGCCGGGGCTCAAATAGTGTCCTGAGAAAATAGCATACTTACTATATATATACTCGTGACGCTAAAACTGGCATTTTTAATATTTGGCTTGAAATGCACAGTCTATGGAGCGTCACTTGTCGGACTATCGTCCTCCGTGATGGAAAGTAAAACCAAGTTTTTTACCGCCGATTCAACTTCATTTCCAATGTCGCATAGGATAAATAATTGAATGTGGCAAATAATCGCAGCACCAAGGCCAGAAACCCACCCTGCCTATCAATTGAAATTCATACAAAAAGGAGTGAATATTTACACTGAAAGGCAAAAAAATCACCAACGATCATGTAGAAGAATATAGCCATCGCAACCGACCGGGTTAATTAGAAACGGTTGTAAGAAAAATTCCTAATAGTAAAGATCCGATAGCTCCAGAATGAAACTGTAATGAATCGTGATCGATTAAAAGTTTGATTTTTTTATGCAGAATTTGAATTAAAATTGAACATCACCAGTCAAAATCCTGTATTTGGAGCAACATATTTCGAAAGCTAGCGTCGATGTTTCTTTCCAATTGTGATTCGGACGAATTCTCGGAAAATTCAAGCAGTTTGGAAATTTCATCGATTGAATGACCAATTGACCACCCACAATCATCGCTCCCCATACGGTATTCTTGGGCATGCACGTTGCAACTTTAATCCCAAAATTTCCAACCACTCCGATCGTGGAGATGGAAAAATGATTTACTATATTGAGGACTACTCCATGCGTAGTTTCAAGATTGGTAAATAGCAAGAGAACTAAAATGGTTAGCAAATCGATATTGGAACGTTTTAAAGTCTGGTGTTTAGTTCCCACCGACACGTGCCTTTTTAATCGCAGGGTTGAATATCCATATCAATTGTAGAATAGTTTATTAATGACCATGCATTCGAATAAATGCTTACAATATATAAATGTTCCGCATTACTTACCTTTTTTGAAAATTGGTTCGTTCAAGTATGCAACAAATGCCATTTTCTAACAATTATACAATGTTCCATGCAAACAGTTTACGGCCTCGAAAATGATCGACTCGCATTATTTCGATATAAATAAATATATCGGGAGGGAGTTGACAGTATTGAGATGTGCTTGCAATATTGATGAAAATCGCTTGCACAATCTATCGCTTTGATGGTCGCTGAATGGCAGAGGCACTGCAATCGGAATCTCTAAAGAAAGTATTCCTTGTATTGAATGGATTGTTTACTCTCAATTTAACCATTTGGTTACTTACCCAAAATATTTCGGTAGAATTCTTGAATACATCTGAGCCGAACACCGGAACGTTAAATACGAACGCTTGAGCATTATACCTTCGATACTTAAAAGAATGCGCCTCAAGCTATGCAAAATGCTTCAATTCAAATAAAGAAAAAAACTGCATTTTTTCAACAACGTTCAAGAGATAATTTTTTCAATCATTTTTTCTGAGTGGCTGCAGTGAACTGAATGAGCGATCGGTCCGAGGAAGACCATCAGAAAAAAAATTGATTGCATAGTAAACACAAATCGTTTTTGCTTTCGATTTTACTATGGGAATTTTGAAAAAAATTATCAGACAATGCAAAAAAAGCTGAAACGAGATCGAAAAAACGGCAAAACGTGATCATCGTTTATTGAATGGAATGGAAGCAGTATGTGGCTTATTGAAAGTGCGGAGTTGTTATTGAATGGAGAGCTGAAGCGCGGAAGCCAAATCAAAATGAATGGTAATTTAATTAAACTGTTGAAATTTAATTAGCTCAATCGAACCGATGGCTCTATTTCAAGCGACATCATTATCATTTGACTTTAATTTGTCCCGTATATACGGCGGAGACCCTGGATAACAAAGTTCGAATTAATATCTATATATGTTATTCGCTATAGCCTGCTATCGCCGGCTCATTTTGGGGAATATTTTGACAGCGTGGCACAAAGTAGAAAACAGATGACCGCATCAGAAATGATCTGGGCTATCAAGCCAGTGATGCTCTCGTTTGATGTCATGAAAGTTGTTTGTTCTTAAAACAAGCGATGTCTTTTTCCTTAGCTAGCAACGGAAGAATATTTACTTCGTATGGAGCCAATTTGCTAGCGCTACGTGATTACTTTGTTGCAGAAAAATAGAGGAAAATAACAACGAATGGCACATTATTTTCGCTATGATTTTGTTACAATTTTTATCAATTTATTTCGTGTACGTTTTTCATGAAACATTGTGGTAACCAAATGGTTGGTGGGTGATTCAAGCAATCAGCGTTCCGTTAAAATTCAAGATGCATGTATACGCAATCATCACGCTTAAGGTTGTGGCACGGGGAGAAATGTCTCGATTTCATATACAAATAAAACGAATTACATACGTAACCCAAACTTTTCCGCTCCGCAGCAATTTAGTTTACCGCCCGCTTAATGTTTAACCAAAATTTCAATGGGCCCTTTTTTCATAGCATTTTTGACCTTAAAATATAACTATTTCGACCATTTTCCATACAAAAGTGTTATTTTCGAACAAAATTTCAAAAATTTCAAGAAATGTTGATTTCGGACCAAATTTATGGGCAAGTAGGTGTTCAGTTATTCACAGACTCCCATTATTTTTGCAAAAAAATGGCGGTTTGCCTTGATCAAAACCCTGAAAAATTTCTCTTTGGGCGATTTTTCATACAAAAGTGTCATTTTTCAAGGTTTTCCAGGTCCAAAGTCGGAGGCTTATGGTACGAAATTGGTAAATCAGAATGGGCTGAAAATCAATCCGAAGCTTTGTCTCGACATGCCAAAACTTTTGGCTTTTACAGATCTCAATTATCTTGTCAACTTTTTGAGATATCCGGCGAACAAAAAGCTCGGACCCGAACGCGGACGCGAACGCGGACGCGAACGACGCCATACGCACATCGCTATTTTGCACATATTTCATAGTAAACAACATGTTTTTGGGGGTAGATAGGTCTTGATCGATAGGATTTGATCCCATCTACATTGCCTAGTATACAGATATGTGCTTTTTCAAGTTTAGCGTGACGTTATAGTGGTCCGAAAAAGGAGATGTCATAAAATTTTGGCTAGTAAAACCAATACTTTTCCTAACAAACAAAGTTTGCGGAAAAGTAATAATCACCAGCCACAGCAAATGAGCTTCGCAGGTCATCATAGTATAAAAAGATTGAATAGAAAAAATATAAACAAATATTTCATCATGCATCTGAAAACGATTCGACAAACTCATCGTTTTTTTCCACTTTCATAAGCCGATGATGATTTCAGACCCTACAATCGATAACATTTTGATTTTTTTCTACCAAATTTTACACCGCCGAATCAATATTTTTTCTTTATGAATGATTATTATTATTATGGAATATGGCGTAGACGTCTCTGAATATAGTGCGATAAGGAAAAAACCGACAACAAAAAAACGAATGAAACATTTGCAAAATATATCAAATGTTGCATTTTTTTCATTTATTTACATTTATGTTTCAGAATCAAATAATTTATATTGCAAGTCAACCTTAATTCAAACTCACGCTTCATTAGAAATTACTATATGTTGATGTTTTGTAAATGGTAGAGAAATCTAATCATTTTAAAAATACAGACGAGTGTGCCATTTCATCTGCTGTTCATCAAATTCAAATTCAATCCATTGCTATCAACTCCCGCGTTGAATGCGTATTTTTTCATCTTTATTTTTTTCCATTATCGCTACCGAAAATTAATGACAATATTATTGAGTTTGCATTATCATTTAACTGTGTATACGTGCAATAGAAAGCAAGCTCCATGCACGATAAGGATTCCTGGTATAAATACAGGAGGAATCATCCACTTTCATCAGTTCACTTCCACAGTACAGTGCAAGAGTTACAAAAAAAATCAGCCAAGATGAAAACCGACTTCATGTTCAAGGGAATGATGTGCCCAGGTTCGTACAAATTTTTAGTAAACATTTTTTCTTACAATCAAAATTGCTCTCAGAATGTTTTATTCAATTTTTGTTAATTTCTTTTCTTCAATCTAGCCTTCACTCCATTCATGGATGACAAGTAAGTTTCCCCCACTATTCTCTTCAAAAAATAATTTTTTTCGGCTGCGTTTAACCGCTAGCTTGTGATTTTGTACAGGAAACGTTCATGCAACATGGAAATGATTGACAAATACTGTCAATGGATGAAGTCAATGGGAATGCAAGGTGTTATGGTAAACGGTATGACTGGCGAAGGCATGTGTATGAACATGCAGGAGCGTATGCAGATGGCTGAGAAATGGCACGAGTGCACCCGTAAATACGGAATGACAATGCTCCTCAACATCGGTGGCATGGATCTCCCAAGCGTTTACACGTTGGCCGAACACGCGGAAAAGATGAAGGTCGATGCTGTTATGATGATGCCAGACATGTTCTACAAACCAATGACTGAAGAAGACTTGATGATGTACATGAAAGACGTTATGATGCGTATGCCAACTCGTCCAGTGATGTACTATCATATTCCAATGATGACTGGCGTTCATAGTAAGTTAAATCGCAGCAAAACTAGAAATGCATTTATAAATGTATCATTTTAACTAACATTTTCTCAATGTTTGAATACTCGTTTTTGCAGTGGACATGTGCCGCTGGATGATGATGATGGACAAGGAGTGTCCAATGTTTGCCGGTGTTTTCTGGTGCCACGATCACATGGACATGATGATGATGGTCAAACAAAAAATGCCACACTTCAACTACATCATGGGAACAATGTCATCGATGATGGGTTGCATGGCTCAAGGTAACTGTTTAATCCATTTTTTCGTTTTATTTTTCTCGGGAACTCAAAAATTGATTAAATTCCTTTTTACCCTTCAACTCCTCCACAGGAATGGACGCAATTTCAATGTGTGCGATGAACATGTGTCCAGAAATGTGCAAACAAATGTACGATTGCATGATGAGCTGCAAGATGAATGATGCAATGATGATGCAGCAGAAGATGATGAAATGCATTATGGATATGTTCCAAATGGATAGCGATATGCACATGAACATGGACTGGATGATGATGATGCGAATGCAAATGGACAAAATGCAACCAATGGGTATGAAAATGGGACCGATGCGCCGTCCACAAATGACAATGAACAAAATGTGGTATACGATGTAAACTCAGCCTGGCAAATACTCATTTAAATAACATATAATGCATCATAGCTTGTAGTCTTGATTATTATGAAGAAAAAAAATTAAATAAATAAAACGAAACGCAGAAAAATTTTCAGCTAACAAAAAAACATGTGTATTTTAGTTTGAAATACAAGAACAGGTTATCGACGGTTCGCTGTAAAGAAAAATGTTACCAAAAATTAATTTATCGAAATTGCTGTAGAAAAATACTTAAACTTTTGAAAGAAATATGGGCTTTTTGAAAAAGTACATTGGTTTAAACCAAATTTAGCATTGGAGTTGTGCCTAAATTTACACATGAAAATATTTCAGCAAGTAATGTTCATGAGGGTCTGTAACAGTTCAATTCTGTCAATTTTAGTACTATTTAGTACTTCGTAGCATCACCTACAGTCTAGGGGCATTTAACTCGAAAAAAATTCGTTTTATGCGAAGAATATGCGCTTCAACTCATAGTATGTGGCGATTTCTTCGTACTATGCGGTGCCTATCCGTTAGAAGTGCACACATTCGATGTCCGAATACTGCACATAGACCATTCATACTGCGAATAATTTCGCATGAATCCTACTAAAATGTTTCCTTCTCTGAATGGTCACACGCCACAATATCGACTATTTTGAATTCAAAGTGCAACGACTTTTTTCATGTAAAAATTCAAGAAATACTTGACTGCAAGTGTTTGATTTGTACTTATTTCGGCTCACATTTTTTGCTGATCATTTTTGTTAACTTCAATCATTTGTACATATGAGTTTGTTATTATTTATAATCCAGATGCTATTTCCAAGTATAATGAATTGTCGCACTTATTTTTTCAACGATTTTTATATCTACCAAAACTATCGGCGGTTTTACTTCAATATTTGTATAATATAACATTTTGATTTTCGTTTTCATTCTTATTCTTTGCTATTATATTTTAATTTTGTGTTATATTTTAATTCAATTTTCATCAAATAAGAACAATCTCATTAGCAAGAGATTTGATAAATATTAAAGACAGAAATTGTTGATGTCAAATATTGTTTGAACGAAACTTAACGATACAACAGAATGTTGACATTGTGTTGATGCGTCTTAAATCGCATCGTGGCGTCATTATGTGCACGCGTATTCGCTTCTATGCGTAATATTCGTGGCTATGTGAAAAATTCGACACACTTCACTGTGGCACACAATCTATGCGCGTTTATCCGTACAAATCACATATATGAAAAAGAGTAAAAAGCCCCTAGCCTACAGTTGTCCAGAACCATTGAGAGGATTTAGTAGTTTTTAGTAAATTTTAGTACTCTTTTAGTACTTTTAGTACTGGGTCTGCAAAGCCCATGAGAAGTACTAAAAAGTTGCTTCAGAAACTATTGCTCTATTTCGAGTAGTTGAGAAGTTATAGAACTCCAAAAATGCTCGATGATATCGTTTGGTAGCGACAAGTGACTTTGAGCCAAAAAAAAGTGAGCTAGATTTGATTTTTTTGGGTTAATGTGTTCAGGAGAGTTGTTTAGTTCGACGCTGGCTACAATAATGCCGAAGAAAGAAAACAAAAAATGGATATTTTTTACGAGTTATGGTCGAAAAAATGGAAAAAATCGCCCTTTTTTCGACATTTTGCCCTATAACCTGACTAGGCAGATGCAATTTTTGAGGTATAGAATGTTCAAAAATTTTGTTACCTAGACTCTTGGCTACAACTTTGCTGAAGATATTGAAACGATATAACCAATAGGGGACGAGTATGGGCCAAAATTAAAGTTGTCAAAATGCGTAATATATGGCTACATATGGAAATTTTCAAATCGATGTAGCGAAAAAAAGTTGTTCGGGTTAGGAAAAAGTGAGAGTGCTGTGAAGCTAGTCCATCGAAGCCCTACATTATGACATATGCCGTTTCGCTCAACTCGCGCAACCATAGTTGATGGTTCCTTGTTAGTTGTTTTCTGTATGCACCAATCTCCTCATGTGATGTTGAGAGAACATTTTCGAAGTATAAACAAGTTCTGGGTGATCAACGTCGTTCGTTTTTATTCGAAAATTTAAAAATGCATGTCGTAATTTATTGCAATAGCTTTGATTAGTCTTTAACTAACGTACTTTCCTTGAAAAACACCAAAAATTTATACTGAAATATAATGGTTTTTAATATAGCCGGAGAGCGCATACACCTATGTAAATCATACACATCTGCATGCACTCTCCGACTATACATGCGACGACGTTGCGCTAATTACGGCATTAGCCGAATTAGTCGCGACGTCATGCGCATCCACTCAGTCACAACACAACCTTCAACCAAAGAACAATGAATAAAGAGTATATATCCAAACACATCAAACAACTGTGTTTATTACATCAATACATCATGCCCCTTCCATCACTATATTAATAAAAATATTTTAAATATTTTCGTAAATATTTTGGACTTTTTCGTAAATATTTTTGGTTGCCCTGCTCATAGTAATCCATTCGTTACTGAAAAACTATATTGCAACTTTCTTTGGTTATAAAAAAGTTATATTTTGGTTATATGGCAGTATGCGATTTATGAGCATGGCTATTGCAACGATATAATAACAAAACTAAAATAAAGGGTCTTACGATGGAAGACGAACTTTTTCGCAGTGGAGTCTGAATATTCTATTATTATGGAGTCAATGTTGGAATAAAAACTAGATAGATATACCTGAACTTTTGCCGCTTCCAGATTTAATTTATCTGGAATGGTGTTTGAGCAATCGTGTGAACAAATTTCATAAAAAATTGTGTGAACGTACGCCGTGGAACAGACCACAAAACATCGCGCTAAAAACCATTTTTTCGTGTTCTACGGCTGTCCATGAATGGATCATTAGTTTTGCATATTTCAATGATTATTTTATGTAAAATGATTTGATTTGGTTTCAAGCACGTTTTCAAGTAAAACAAAAATGATTTGTCAACACGGGTCCTGCGGAAAAGTAATTGAATTATAACGAATTTGTTACAAATAAGCCCCGCCTCGCGGCTAAACAGCTTACAATTCGGTCATTGCATACATGCGCGAGGGGGGGGGGGTATTTTATAAAACCGGTTTCAAGTACTTGAGAGTGCGTTTTTCAACCTAAAATAAGTGTTTCCCCATGTAATTTGGCGAGAATTATCGATTGAGACTACACCCGTTGTTCACCGACTTCTCGTTCTTGAGTTATGGCTGAATTTGTGTTTGTATGAAAAGTACTGGGAAAACTTGAAAAGCCGATTTGAGCGGTTAGAAGTGGATTTACCCCTCAAATTGGGTTGTAAATTTTATCATTATATTATTTTGTACTAGTGTTTTTTTTTCAGATAATATTCGGCTTTTTTTAGAACAAAGTTGCAACGCTTGAAATTGGTCGTGCCGTGTAAATCAGTTAAAACTTGATGATGAAATATTTTTCACTCTTATGTTTTTGGCATTTTGCATGCAAAAAGTCGAAATAACTGTGATTTTCTTTTCTAAATTGGGTTTATGAATATAAAAGTGATTTTGTATAAAATTGGATAAACAATAAATAAAATCTTCATCAGAACCGTGCGAGAAGATATTAGTATCACCAACCAGAGAGCGACATAGAAAACATTCAATTTAGTACTTCTGTCAAAAAGTACGATTCTTTGCTATAGCAGGTACGAGGGTTGCTGCATAAGTTTCTGGCCTAACCTATTTCTAGTGTTTTCAGATGCAATCTGACGATTCCATTGGAAAGTTTGACATTTTTTAGGCTAAAAAACACTATAGCAGGGATTTTTTTACATTACTGGGTGTGTCTAAGCCTCCTTTCCAAGGGATACCTGGAAAAATCGTAAATTTCAACAATAAACTTCATTTTTCGATATGGGAAAAATTGATTATTCTGTTGTTAACCACCTAAAAAACTTCGTTTATCCTCAATTTAATAATTTCTGGCTAACGAAACCATTATTTTATATTTTGGGCCTGCAAATATTCGATTGAATGAAGGCATGTCAAAAGGTGAAAATTCATGAAGTGACAGATAGTTCCCAGTTTTTGGCCCATTTTCTGAATATTTTCATTCCAAAAATGTCCGCTTTATTCAGAATTCATGGCACTACAATTCCAAAGTATAATAACAGTCATGTAAATCATTTTTTCCCAGAACGAAGCATTGCAATTTGCGAAAATCGTCTGTTTTTTCAGAAATAAGGAAAATTTTCTGTTATTTTCAAACACGATACTATCACTAAAACCTTCTGGGATGAAATGCTATACTCATAAATGATAATTTTGTAATCTCTAGTGACGATTGAGGGTTTTTCAGCCTATCAAAATTGCATTATTGAGAGTTTGTAGGCCTATTTTTGTCCAAAACTCTTTTTTTTGGTTGAAAACATATTTGGAGGTTTTGACATGTGAAAGGCATTTACGTCACTAAAACCACATGTAATATTGACCTCATGCATGTCATACTAATGCCAAAGGATGCCCCAATCTCACTATAAGTCGTATGAGAATATTCCACCTTTAGGTTTCGCACAGCATCAATGTGTTCCGGCGTTACAGCTGATATTTTACGACTTTCCTGCGGACTCATTTTTGAGTGAGCTTCGTCAACATTTAAAATCGTTATATCACCTCTAAATACTTGGAATGGACCGAGTTTTATCACCCAAAGCGAATTTGAGGCTATCACGGCACTCTTGTTGAGTTAGTCCCTCTCAAAAATCGGAAAAAATCATTGCACTAAAATGTTTGCGGAAAAATTCAATTTTTTCATCAAATTGAAATATTCAAGCTCATAAAACACCACGATCCGTAGTGAATCAACAGTTGACGTCTGAGGAAACTTAGCTTAAAAAAGGTCAAACTTTTTGACTGACCCAAAGTTTTGCTTCGGAAAACACTAGAACTAGGTTAGGCCAGAAACTTAAGCAGCAACCTACGTATAAAACTCTTTTCTACTCGGAAATATACTTGTTACAAATGAATAAACACAAAATAAAAAGTCAAAATATGGTGACAAACTTTTTTTGGCCAAAAAATGGTACTTGGAAAATTTGACATAATTTTTTTTCTAATAGCACAATCGAGGTACTTTCTTCGGAAAAAAGTTAGCTTATACCCTCTGGGAAATTC